TGTGCTGTATATGCCGAGTGACATCCTATATACTGCTTTCACTTATTTATTCTTAGCTTTTAATTTACTTTTCCGCAAGTTTATATTTACTTTCCGCATTGTTAGGCTTACTTAGTCGTTGAGACTAGGTGCCCTCACGACATGTTCACGGAGGACGAACTAGGGTCGTGACATTTGGGCTTAATTGTGGAAGGCCAAATGGTGGCCGTTGATCTAAATGATCAACGACCTGGATTAAAGAGGTAGGTAGGGGTTTGGGTTTGGGTCGGTTCAATTTGAAATTGGGTCGGGGTAATTGGGTTGGGGAAATTGGGGGCTTGATTTGGGTTATAATTGAAACCTAGTTTGGGCTACAATTTAAATAGCCACTTTTCCCTTTTACTTTATAAAAAATAGTAAATAAGTTTCTGAAAACAAACTAAGAGCACTAAAATGATTTACATTGTATAATTAACTATTTAAAAATATTGGACTTAGTTTTCTATAAATGTAAACGCAATTAAATCCTAAAAGAGGCTAATATTGCAATTATATGCGATTTAGCCTTAAAAATACTAAATAAATTTATAAAAATATGCAAAAATTATCTTAGCTATATTTTGGCATAAATATAAAATTCCAAATAAATGAATTACCAAAATATAATAATTTAGAAATAATTATTGGGTCTTTTATGGATAAAATAGGGAAATAAATTGATTTAAAAACCTTTAAAAATTAAGGAAAAATAACAAAGTACTTGGACATACTTATATATGCATACATATGCTATTTTGAAGTTATTTAGCTTATTAAAAAATATATAGGGAAAAATTGGGTATCAACACCTACACGGAGTCCGATATCGACCCGATCGGCTAGGTCATATCATTTGAGACATTAACCATATCCATAATTTCAATCAATCAATCCAGCATAATTACCACCATGTGTGCGGCATGGTGTCTGATCACGGCTCGATTGGCTAGACCATCTCACTTGAGACATCATCCTTTCAATTGTTCAACTCAATTCACAATTCCTTCCCATTTTTCATTACATGGCACGAGTAGCCTCATTTATCAAGTCGTTCTTGGAACTTGGCCGTATCATACAATTCAAATCTTTCCCTTTTTATACATTCAAACAATAGTATCATCCACGTCAATAAGTCCTATCATATACAGCATTGCACACATAAGGGAAAAAACTTGAAAAATCTTAATCACAAAGAGGCTTTTCATACAAATTAGGTTAGAAAGCTTTATTCGACTCTTGATACAAATTCTTAACCTTTCTCAATACATATTCCTCATTTCAAACACATTCTCAAATAGCATGATGACACGATAAACATTTAGAACAATTATTGAACATAAATCTTTCAACACAACACATTAAGACAACCAATTCTAGTCTGATCAAGTGAGGAACTTACACTAAATACTCGAACACCAGGGATTCGATTCTAAGAAAAAAAAGATTTTAGCCATACATACCTCAATTGAGCTTCCTTAAATTCTACAATGTTCCGAAATTCTTAGCAACCTCAATCTCAAGGATGAAGATCTAATGTGTTTTCCTTGTTAATCTTCAAAGATTTGTGTAAGAATTGAAGGATGATTTGGTGAAGATCACTTTCTCACTTTAGGGCTCCTTCTCTTACTCTAAAGCATCAGGTTTCTCCTAAAAAATGATCCATTGCATGTATTTAACGAAGTTAGGTCGGGTTATAGTGATAGAAGCATGGATACTCCAAAGTTTTGGACCGGGCTACAAACTTGGCCTCGCCAGGCTAAAGCCTGGTCTAGCGTGCTACAGACCTGACCTCGCCAGGCTAAAACCTGGTCCAGCGTGCTACAGACCTGGCCTCACCAAGCCAAAAAAGTTCAACTCCCCAACATACTATTCAACCTAAAATCTCCAAAAATATAATATATTAGCCTATCTTGGTACCACAAAATATTAATTTACTTAGCAAAATTTTTTCGGGGCCTTATATATATATATNTATAAATATAGTTGGAGAATTCGCCTAATAAATAGGAAGTCCAACTGCTTAATAACGGAAAGATGAATCAATAAGCGTGTATCACTCCCAATTGATCTCAACACAATCAATTCAAACATGCCTCATTATCATGCCATAACTAGCAGATTTTTTCGGACGTTTAACAAAAAAATAGAGCATTATATTCAGCGTTAATAAAACACAATCTCCAGTGCTTCAGCGAGACAGTGATTTATTATTTTGAGTGTGTTCGAGGTTTTGATTCGACCGACCTTGATAGGATTGATTTTCGTCCGGCATTGATACAAGTATTCACAGAAGAATTACAAATTAAATTTACGAGATGACAAGCTTAACAATGTTAATTCGTCATTCTGGGAAGTGGAACAATGAAATTTTTTATGTCAATTATTCAATACAGGGGATAGTGATAAAGGAGTATGCTTCGTACAATGATTTAGATGCTTCAATTTCGAACCAACTTGATGTAGACTTGAGTTCGAAGTCAACTAAATCGAATACAAAGTGGAAGGAAATTATATGAATATGGAAATACACAATGACGTCGGTTTCACGGTGTATATAGAGTTGAAAAAGGAGAACGGGGAATTTGGGATGTATCCATTGTGTATAACAACAACAACAATAATAACAACAACAAACCCAGTAATTTTTCACAAGTGGGGTCTGGGGAGGGTAAGATGTACGCAGCCTTGAAGGGTAAAGAGGCTATTTCTGATAGACCCTCGGCTGGAAAAAGGATTAAAAAAACAAAGAAGGTAAGGGAAACAAGTAGGAACAACAACAAAATAAAAAAGATCAAAGCAAAAAAGCAGCTAAACACAAGATAGTAATAGCAATATATGAATAAAAGAATATCATACTAACGTCAATGCTAGCGAACTGAGTAAGAAAGAGAATAGAGAAGCGAAAGGAAAAAGTTGAACCTGAATTTCAATGTCCCGTAAATATGGGGAGCTTCTTATTAAGCAAAGAACACATGAAGCCTCGTCTAAGCAATCTAGACATATGTCAAATAGGTAAAGACGTTTAAGACAGCTATGAGGAGAGGAATTGTTTTGGCACTTTTCCTGCTAAGAACTAAAAACACAATGTCAAAAATCAGAATGTCTCAAAGCCCAAAAAATAGCGCCATAAATAAAACAATGAGTCACGACACAACAATTATCTGGACACTATAACAATTCAAGTGGAGATGATTGAGAGCAGGAAAAAACTCAAAAAACTTGGCAATATCATAGCTTCCTCCCTCATCTATATCTACAAGTGAAAGTTTTGCAAGATGACGTACATCCTTTAAGGAAATTAATTTTAAACTGCCTGTGAAGTCAAAGGATCTCAACTTGGGAGCTTTAATTTAAATGTGATTGGAAATACTTGATTGCAATGGATATGAAAATTACATAAGGAGGAAGTGTAATTCAAAGTGACCTAATGCAACTTGACTCCACGAATGGTGTGCATACAATTAATACAAGTGATACGTTTGCACTGACGTCGTTAAACTCAAGTGAACCAATTGAGATTTTCGAACCTAAAAGGGATTTAATTATTTCAAATACTAATAAAAAAGAGGTGATGGATGGACAAGTACACAAGGATAAGGCGATATTGAAGGCAGTGATGGAGCAATATGAAATTTCTACAAGATTTCAATTCCGGGTTGATAGGTCAAATGCTATCAGATTTGACTGCTATTACATAGTAGAACTGCATAATATATGTTGTATTTTGTTGTATGTTTGTGTATTCATAACTGATTGTATGTTGATGTGTATACATAACTGATTGTATGTCAGTGGTTCAAAAAGTAAATGTTGTGTGTCAGTGGTTAAAAAAATAAGTATTGTATCAGATGTATTCATAATGCCCCATCTGTACTCATGTATTCATTATGTACTAATTTATATAATGTATTCATTATTTTCTTGTTATGAACTATAAGTACTGTATTCAAATGCTATCAGGTTTCATTGTTATTACATAACTGATTCTATGTTGTTGTTTATACATAGCTGATTGTATTTGTATTAGAATTGTATATTTGGGCTAGACCTTGTTATGTGTTTGAATGGAATTAATTGTTCAAAGTGAGGGAATTCAATTATAAGCATACATGTTCATTGAAGGATAAGGTGTATGAACAGTATCAAGCAACCAGTAGGTTTATTAAGGGCATGAATAGATCCAAGTTTACTAATCATAAGAGGAAATACATGCCAAAGGATATAATTGATGATATGAAATTGGACTTTGGTGTCCAAGTTAGTTACATGTTGGCGTGGAGCGCTAGAGAAAAGGCAGTAAAATTCTTAAGGGGAGAACCAATTGATTCATGCAATAAATTACCGGGGTACTTATATACCTTGGATACAATTTATCCTAGTTCACATATCAAAATGAAAAAAAAATGCCTGAAAATGAGTTCATGTATTTGTATATATCGTTGTATGATTTTATAAATGGATTCGATTATTGTAGACCCGTCATCACTGTAGATGGAAGCCACCTCAAATCAACATACACAGGGACCTTCATTTCGGCTAGCATGTTGGATGGTGCGGGTAAGTCAATTAACTACAAAAATAAGACATACATGATACACTAACATACAAACTGCTCTTCTAAGTATTTAATACAATAGTACTAATATATTGTGTTTGTCTGCAATTGTAATTACAGGACATATCCTGCCACTAGCATATGGTGTAGTTGATTCAGATAATGATGTTTCTTGGTTGTGGTTCTTTGAGAAATTCAAGGAAGCTTAGGGAGAAGGGGAAAACATGTGCGTTTTTTCTGATAGGAATGAGAGCATCAACAAAGCTGTATCCAGAGTGTATCCTATCGTACCACAGTTTGCTTGTATATGGCATTTATGAAATAATGTATACAAGAAATTCAAAAAGAGTCATGAGAAGTTGAGTGAGGTATACTTTGAATGGAAAAAACATACACCTAGGATGAATTTGATAGTCTAATGGAAAATATGGAGAAGGTAGATATTCGGGTGAAAGATTACTTGGAATTAGCTGGATACGAAAAGTGGGGTATGTTGTATACACCTGTTAACCAAGGATGGACTATGACATCAAATATTGCTGAGTCAATCAATTCGGCACTTATATCAACAAGAGAATTACCAATCTATGATTTTCTAGAAGAAGTTAGGAAGATGTTTGGTTGCTGGAATTGCAACAATAAAAAAGATGCTATATACACGTTCACAATACTTGGGAAAAAATATCAAGAGATTATAACATTGAATAAGACTCTGTCTACACATATGACTGTAAGTTTTCATTAGTTTGCTATATTTAGTTGCATTGACTAAAATCTGATATATGAATACATACTGTAATTATTCTGAATGCATATATGAATACAACATGTATTATTCCATATATATATAGTTGTAATTATGTTATACACACACACACACACACACACATATATATATATATATATATATTATAGATGGATACATAATTGAATACAGCTTTCTCTGATACATGCATATAAACTGTAGGAATACATACAAACTGTATATGTATATTGAGATAGTACATATATACATGCCACATATATTCATGCATACAATACATACTGCATGTATTCATGGATATATACATGCTTTCTACAATGTCCAAAATTGAATTTACTCCATGTTATGTAGGTTATACCATCAACTGAACACTTGTACATGGTGAATGATGAAGAAAGGCATTACACCGTTTGCATCCAAAAGAAAATTTGCAGTTGTGGGAGGTTCCAAGTGGACGAGTTACCATATTCACATGCTTGGACTGTCTTGAAGAGCAACTTTCTAATGCCGAACGATTATTGCTCGGACTATTACAAATCAATGACTGTTGTAACGACATACGAAGTCCCTGTGTATCCTCTCCCTGACCGAAATGAATAGAAGATACCAGAAAATATATCAGAGGAAGTAGTCTTACCACTCAAATGGAAGAGACCTCCTGGAAGTCCAAAAAAGAAGCTTGATAAGCTATTAAGTGAATCACTTCAAAAGAAGAGTCAAAATTCGTATAGTGTATGTGGGCATGGTTGACATAATAAGCATACTTGTAGAAATATTCCACATAGGAATGAGTTGATGTTATGATTTTAATTTCTCTCATCTTTGTTGTCGATGTGTTAAAGATTTTGTATTTCGATACTTGAACTGATGAATTATATTTAGGTTGAAATTTTTGTGTTACTTGGTTTCTTGATGTACTTTATTATTCTTGAATGATTATATTAAAGGAATATGCATATATATAGTGTCACACCTCCTTTTTCCGCACCCGAGGGGCGCGAGGGAGTTTTTTCCAATTAAAGGACAATCGAAACGGGATTGGTTTATTTATTTCAGAGTCGCCACTTGAGAGATTTAGGGTGTCCCAAGTCACCAATTTTAATCCCGAATCGAGGAAAAGAATGACTCCATATTATAGTCTGCGTACCAGAAATCCGGATAAGGAATTCTGTTAACCCGGGAGAAGGTGTTAGGCATTCCCGAGTTCCGTGGTTCTAGCACGGTCGCTCAA